GAGTTGAAGTGGGATTTGGTCATGAAAACAGCTGTTTGAAGGGCACATTATTTCTCTGCCTCAATAGAACATCTCCCAAGACTGATTTTCACTGGCCTTAAGGGAAGCTGGTGGGCAATCACTAAGTCAAAAATGATTCAAAATCTCATACCAGGAGAAGATTTTTCTGATTCAGAACCTACAACAGATGACCATTGTTCAGATTTGGTAAGGCAAAAGCTATCTATAAAATGTAGCTTATCTTTGCATCTGACTATACAAAACATTTCTTATAGTCTCTATGTGGGTTAAAAATCTAATTGTTGTTAAGCTACTAAAAAAATGAACAGAGGGTCTGGCATAGTATTTCATTCCTATAATTCCAGCTACTCAGGAGGTGGTTCGAAGCAAGCCTGTGGAAATGTTAGTTGATAAGACCCTATCTCAACAAGCAAACCAGCTGATAGAGTGGCTCAAGTGGTAGAGCACCTGCCTAGCAAGTATGAGGCTCTGAGTTCAAACCCCAGTACTGCAAAACCAACCCAAACCAGTGAGGTTGGCACATGTCTGTGATCCCAGCTATGTGGCAGGCTGCTGTAGGTAGGAGGATCACAATCTGAGGCCAGGCCCAAGCAAAAATGTGAGACTCTATCTGAAAATTAAATAAAGCAAAAAGGCTGGGGGCATGGCTCGAGAGGTAGAGCACTTGCCCTCTGCATTTGACCCTAGGGATACAGCAGTCATTCAGTCACCCCTTGTGTATGCCCATTATGTGCCACGAATTGTTTTAGGCACAGGGAACACAATAATGAACCCTACAAAGGCTTTGGAATGTGAAGTTTGCTTTCTAGTAAAAGAGTCAGACAATAAAAAAGTAAACAAAGACACCAATAATAAAATTTGAAAGTTATGAGGGCTCTGAAGCTAAACAATATGAAAGTAACATGCATGTCACACACACCTTTTGTCGTTTGCTCATTTGTTCAATAAAATTTTATTGGGAACCCTCTGCATGTCAGCCACTGTGCCAGGCACTGAGGAGCCAATGGAGACTCAACTTGTGATGACTGTGAGAAAGAAAACATAGGGCTGAGATTGACGAGAAGTAGGGAGAAGTAGAGCTGTGACAGAGGCATGTGTGGACCTACCAGTACTTAGACGGTGGGTTGGAAAGGCTGCTCTGAGGACCTAATGTACGAGCAGGCAATGGCAGTGGCAATGGTGCCCTGTGTGTGTGTGTGTGTGTGCATGTGTTGGTGGGGTGTGGAGAAGGAAAGAAGATCATTGTAGGTAGGAAGTTCAGTACTTTCGAAGGCTCTGAAGCTGATAAAATTTGGTGAGAACTGGTCATGAAAAGCAAATTTGGGGAAGGGGGCATAAAGAGAATGATGGAGGGGGTGAATTTAAGTATGATTTATTTGATATATTATAAGAACTTTTGTAAATGCCACAATGTACCTCCAGCCCAACAATAAAAAAAAAAAAGAAAGAAAAGAAAATTTGGTCATGTTTTCAAAGACCTGAATAACCACTATGCCCCAAGATGAGGTTGGGGCCAGATCAGTGGGGTCCTGGACAGCCATATTACAAGACTTAACTTTATTCTAAGGGCAAAGACACTAAAGAATTTTGAGCCAGGGTAGGACTTTCTTTCACCATCATGCAGAGAGTAGGTTAGATGTGGTCAGGAGTGGAAGCCCAGAGACCACCATGAATATTATTCAATAATCTGTCAGGAGAGGTGAGGAGGAATCTACCAACAGCCTTGGGTGCAGGAAATGCCCACATGACAGTCTTTCCATGTCCTTCTTAATTAGATCAATGAGAGCAGACCAAATATTCCAGATATCCCTCTGTAGGTCATTGAATGTCTAGATGCATTTGAAACCTATGGAATATCTGGGAAGATAGCTCCCAATTTAAACAATTTTATTCAGAATGTTTCCTAAGAAGCATAGTTCTTCCTCTTGACCACGATGTTATATTGACCACAGTGATAACCCAAACTCATCCTTAAGTTTGAGTTTAAAATCTAGAGAGTACACACACGTACAGGAAATCAATGTGAGTCAACTCCCTGTATAGCTATCCTTATCTCAACCAGGAACACTTGTTCCTTCCTATTATTGCTTATACTCTCTCTTCAACAAAATTAGAGATAAGGGCAAAATAGTTTCTGCTGGGTATTGAGGGGGTGGGGGGGAGAGGGAGGGGGTGGAGTGGGTGGTAAGGGAGGGGGTGGGGACAGGGGAAGAAATGACCCAAGCCTTGTATGCACATATGAATAATAAAACAATAAAAAAAACAAAACAAAATTAGAGATAAGGGCAGAACAGATTCTGCTTGGAAGCAAAGGGGGGGGGGGAGAAGGAGAGGGTAGGGGGTAGGGGGGAGAAATGGCCCAAACAGTGTATGCACATATGAATAAAGAAATAAAAAAAATCTAGAGAGTATACAATACTCATTGTATAATATCGTAGCCTAATTTTTAAAAAACTGATCAACATTGTTTGGAAGGATAGCACACCCAGAATAAGACTGACCACACAATTGGTTTTCAGATGAAATTTGCTACTTTAGTGGTAGGTGAATATTTTAGGTGTGGCAATGAAGAGAAGGGGAATCTTAGGGACATTCAGACTTGGTTTAAATCTTAATTCCACCACTCAACTTCCTGTGTCTGTGTAACAGGCCATGGATGTGCCAGTGTGTGCTTCAGAAATTGAGATGACTTGTGCACATGGTCAGTATTCAGCTTGTTTTCCCTTTCTTTTTTTCCTGGCCTTCCTCTTCCCTCTTCTAAATCTATCTAGCTTTTCTTGGTTATAACACATCCTAAAGATGTTTGGTTAAATTTTCTTCCACCATCACAGAAACATGAAGAGAATAAACTAAATCTTTTTTCTTTTCTCCCCTCCCCGCCCTTTCCCTGCCCAGCCCTTCTCTCCCATCTTTCTTTTTTTGGGGGAGGGGTGTGGGAGAATAGTACAGGTTAGCAATTATGTCCTGACCATAAAACTTGCTGTCAAGTCACCATGTTAGTGCCTTTTCAGGCACAGACTCATTTAATCTTCACAACAATCTCAAGAGGAAGATATGAACATTATCCTTGTTTTATAGATGAAGAGACTGTGGTTTGGAGAGGTTCTCTTACTCAATTTTCTGTTACCTGCAAGTCTGACAGTAGAACCCTTATAATGCACTTTTATTCTTCTGTCCCTTTAGATGTTTTTGCTAGGTATGGGGTGTGGGGCATTGGTACTGTTGCTGACCTTGGTGGAGAGGTGGGGAGGTCTGCCAGGAAGTGTGTAGGATTTTGTGTTTAGGACTGCCTGTCTCTATATATGCCTTATTCATGAAAAAATAGTTCTCTCTCCCTTTATTGTTCACCATCTGTGTCACACCTGGACATGCTCCGTATTTTCCAGAAATATAGATGATTCAAACAATTAGTTTCTTATAATGTTTAATCTCCCAGAGAAGAGACTGGAGGAGAAAGTTCATTTACAAAGATCAGTTGTGATTTTAAGGCATCTTAATTTGGTGAGTTGGAGAAAGCCAGGCTGTTAATTGATTAGTTTGGTTCCTGACCTGCTAATTGAGACTTGGTCTTTCTTCACATGGTTCCTAGGCACTGTTGGCTTCAGTTGTGTGTCCTGATTTAAGCTTGCCAAAATCAGATGCTGTGGGGTGTAGAGTTAACAATCTGCCAGAGCATCTGGAGATGTAATGTAGATGCCGTGATGGAAAAGCCAGGAACTTCCCTCCCAATTAAAGAAGATTGTTCTGTTGCTTACTCTGTTGTTGCACGCTTGTTCTCTTACATATCTCCACTGTTGAAATTCCAAAATTTAATACATTCTTTTTTCATGAAAAGAAACCTGCGTAAGTTTAAATGTTATTTCCATTACAAGTGAATACTCTCAAGTAAGTGCTTAGCAGTGAAGAGGTGACTCAGTTCAAATAGTCCATCTAGATGAGGTTGAGCCAGAGGGGATTTTACCCACCTTTTTCAAAGAGGTGGGAGTGGAAATACTCCCTGTACAGAGAATGCCTGGTTCAGTACCTGTGGGATTTCTGGCAGGCTATCAACCTTGGTGAGCTATTTGGGTCTCTTGGGCCCTCCGGGCAAAGGTAAGTCATGCTTGTGTTTCTCTTAGATTCCTTCTGAGGCCTTCTGTTGAGTGGTCAGCTGCCTCTCTCAGTGTTTACACAGACCTAGGGCTGATCATAAGGCAGTCAATATTTATTTTCCCTTTTCAAAGCAATGATTCCATATTATAAAAATAGAAGAGAAAAAAATACTCAAACCTTCTGGAAAAACAAAACAAAACAAAATAAAATAAAACAAAACAAAACAAAAAACCCTCAAGCCAGGCGCTGGTGGCTCATGTCTATAATCCTAGAGACTCAGAAGGCAGAGATCAGGAGGATTGTGGTTCAAGTCCAGGAAAATGGTTCAAGAGACCGTATCTGGAAAAAAAACATCACAAGAAAGGGGCTGGTGGAGTTGGTGGAGCGGCTCAAAGTGTAGGCCCTGAGTTCAAACTCCAGTGCAAAAAAATAACCTTGGCTTTTTTGTTTTTGTTTATAAAGTGAGACCAATAGAAGAATACATTTAAAGCACAGAGTATAGAGATAACCTTCAATAAATAATTGTAGCCAATTAATTCCTATTTGAGTGTATTTCTGCATGCTTACCTATTGGACCCCTCTCTCCTTTCTCTTCCTCTCTCCTCCCTTCATTATTTTTTTCTGTCCCTCTTTTTGTTTTCTTAACAACAGATAAACTGTAACTACATACAAATTGGTAGCCAACTTCTATGACATTTTGTTTAGAACATCTAAACTGACTAGCCCTTAATAAAAAGTCAGGGGCCCATCCTCTATTCACTGATTGTTTTGGCAATGATTACTTATTCCAGTGTTCTCTGTGCAGAGTTGGAAGGGAGCTAGGTCTGGCAACCTGTCTGTCATGTTGTTCTCCTCATCTCCCAACCTCATTCCCTCCTGCTTTCCCAATGGCTAGCAAGTGGAATGGGCCGAGTCCAGGAAACACATGTGTTGATTGCCAGATGCACTTGACTCGAGAGTCCTCGCAGAAAGCAGAGCATTTGCAGTCCCTTGAAGACTACTTACAAGGGAATGAGAGAAGTAAAATAGTCATCAAGATTGGGCCCTCACTTTCTCCCTCATCTCCACTTCCATTCCAAATCTGTCCTTATTTGGCTATGTGGTCACAATTTCTCATTTTCCTCTGAATCATTTTGTCTCTAAAATGATTAGAAATTGGGTGGGAGAAATCTTATTCCTCTTCCAACCCTGTGCCTCTGTGAGTTTTACGAAGAGAAGGAAAAAGAAAAGGATACCACACAACTTTAAGTCTATGTATTCAAGTGGTTGGATAGTTTTAAAACAGGTGCCAAAGACAGCCTGGCCTAATGCCTGTATATTTTACTAAGAGGTAGATGGGCTTATTTGATTTAGCTCATGTGAGAAGTTTATTTGTTTTTTTCTTTGATAGCAGTGACTATATCTAGTGGAATAAAGTGTATTTCTTACACATAGGACGTGGCAATGGTGGATGGTCTGAGTTTTCTTGAGGTTCGCATTGGACCATGTGTTTCACATCAAATGAGCAAATATCTCTTCAGCTGAAAACCTTTCAACAGCCTTGAGTTTCCAGACCAGATTTTACCTCTGGGCTTCAAATAGATCAGTCTTACTTCATGTTGGTTCACCCTTAATATTGGCGTAACAGATGCTGATTCATGAGTATAAGTTCCAAGACCTGCTTGAGTGTAAGACTTCTGTCTCAAGTCTTACACCCAGTATTATTATACCCCATCCAAGTCCTGTCATCCTGCTTATAGGGAGGAAACACCACGCATGCTGATAATATTAATGACATAATAATTAGAAACCAAGAAGACAAAAGAGGAGGAAATGACTTAGGGAAATAAAGACTCTCTCTCAAGGTAATAGAGTTGGCATGCAGAGTCTTGCTTAGGATCTGGGTTTGTAACCAAAGTTCAGTCTCTTAACTCTCATATCATGCTGTCTTTAAAGCAGGTAAAATAGGTACCAAGCTCTAAGATGGTAGGCCATTTTTTTGCTTCCTGTTTTGATCAAATTAATTTAGAGCAACAGGGATCTTGAAGATCATTGGATCCCACCTCCTTTATAGATGAAGAGGCGGAGGCTTGCAATGTCAGCTCACTGGCTCCAGGTCACCCTGCAGGCAATGCTAGCAACAGAAAGGTGATCTGTGCTCATTCTTACAGTGCACTGGGCAGGAAACAAGAGGCTTGCAGAGGAGAAAATGTCACTGGCCAAGAGTTAAGAGAGCTAATTTTGCCCTAAGTTAAAAATGAATTTGCATTTTCTAAAAATAAAAATACCAATGAAAGAATCCTAGATGTGGAGGGGAACTGGAGAGCTTCCCTGGTCCAATTGCTTATTAAACCCAAACTCTTTTCTAGGATCTCCCAAGATGACACATGATCTCTCCCTGGCTCCCCATCCTGAGTCTACACATTGCTAGTCTCTTTGAGTCCTCTTACCCAAGCTCTTTTTTTTTTTTTGCCATTGCATCTTCTCCCAAACCTGTCTTCTGCATGCCTCAGCTGAAATGCCTACCCTCAGAGAAGTCATGACTAATGTTACTGTACTTATGCATACATGTCCTCTGCTCTGTCCTTTCTATCATTTTGGCTTTTACCACTATTTGTGATGATTTCTTTGTTGGCGCACTTGTTTACTTCTTACCACTTTGTCTGAGATTATAAGTCTAGTGAGGTCAGGAACAGCCTGACATTTTTTTTTTCACCTTCCCCTTTTCCTAATGGCATAGGCTCAACACATAAGGACCAAGAATGATGTACCTGGTAGTAGATTTGGGAAGTGTTGCAGCAAGAAGTCACTCTGGGTAGCAGGTGATGGAAGGGACTTCTCCCTTCTGTCACTTTCTGGTTGTGTGATTCCCAAGGAACTTTTTAGCACTTTTGGGAATGTAATTCTGTTCCAATGAGAGCCCTAGGACTGGGTTTTGTGTTAATTCTCAGTGCCTACACCCTAGCACATTTGTTGAGAGAAGAGCTGGCTGGTTGCTTGGCTGAGTAAATGAATGTACTTCCATCTGCCAATCTCCTATCTCTACTCCTTAGAATTAAATTGCTGATGCTCTTATAGGGGAGACCTTTAAGTACTCCAACTAAAATTCAAATTTATTTTCTAAAACTAGTAGACTTTAAGTTACTAATACTTCCCTGTATTGTTTTTTTTTCCATGTCAAATAGCTAATCAGCAAAATCACAAAGAATGGGACAGGAGGTAGGCATTATTTTGGGTAAAAAAGGGACAGTTCATGAATTGTCAGAGCTTGATGTTACTGTATATGGGTGATGCACGCATTCATGGGCTTCCATAAAACTTCCTTCTCCAAAATTGATCTAAAAAATTCTTGGAGCTCTAATGAGTAACTATTCATTCTTTCCATAAACCAGCCTTCTAAAATAATAGGTCATCCTTTTCCACTGAGGAGACTGTATCTGATGCTGGGTGTGTGATTCCCATGAAATTTTCTAGCATTTTTGGGGACCTAAGTCTCCTCCAAGAGGAGTTCTGGTTTCATGTTAACACTCATAGTGGAGGGATCTAAGTGTGGCTCCGAATTTACCAGCTTTGAGAACTCCTCTGAGGTGAAGTTTTGTCACCTGTGTGATAAGGTCAAGACTAGTGAAGCTATGGTCAGGACTGGAAGGGTATAGTGTATTTTAACATGTTATGCCTGCTGTTGTATTTTATCAATGCCAAACTTATTAGTAACGGTCTTTCCAAGTGAAAATCTTAGTGATCTTTGGACCAGGCAAAAGTAACCAGTACAACTGGCTGATTTGCACAACCTCCAGGGTCCAACAGCCCTGAGTTTTACTGGCTATTATCCATGCTTTTATGGGTGGTGGAACCCAGGCTTCCAGTGCTGTGGTCCTTTTAGTAGTTTCTATTGTTGAGAAAGATAAATCAGGTCAGGACATATGTTCCCAAACAACTGGAGTGCCCATCAGAGCTTATTGCAGTGGGACATAAATTGTGTACATTCATCATTTTTCCTGGAACATTTGCATTCATTAAAAGCAATCACCCTAAATGCAAAATCATAATCATAGCTGAACACTCTGTCCTTTACTGACAGCCAAGCCTTGTGCAGTGATCACACCGGAAAATCACCACGGAGCCACAATTCTACTGGGGGAAGAAAGGAAACGTTTCCAATAATTTCTGAGTCAGCTTTCTGACTTATTGGTTTTATCCCTTCCCACGTGAAACATTTATAGAAATGTGCTTGGCTCTGAGAAACACGTTTCCCTGAGTGGAGAGACGCATGCTTCAGTTAGGAGTGTTGAGTGGCTCAGGCAAAGTTCTAAAGTGAAAGATGAATGGTTTTGTGTTTTGTGGTTCTGAAATTTGGGGGGTAAGGCTTCCTTGGAAGGAGGGTTGAGCAAACCAATCAGACTGAACACAGAACACTTCCCCTTAGCAAGTCCAAACCAAACCACTTCTGACTTCGATTGGAAAGGCTGCTCCTGTCCTCATGTCACTGTTTATAAAGCCATTGCCTTCTTTGGCAAGGGAACATGGAGTCAGATCACACAAGGAAATAGAAATCATACAAAATCTTACTTTTAGCAGTGAGATCTCTTTTTGTTATAAGTCCTAGAGCAGTTGGCTACATGCTTCATCACCATTTTCAAAACTACTCTCAAAAATGAAAGGGAGATTAATATTCCACGGCTAAAAATAACGAGGCTGCTGATTACTTCACCTCTCTGCACGGGGAAGCCACTTCTTAACGTGTCTGATGATTTGGTTTTAGCTTCACATGACCAAAAGGCAGGACCATCCTGGAGTTGTAAGTGTGTAAAGCAAGCTATGCGCAACAGGGCAGCTCTGGGCAGCATGCTTCTATATACATCTGGAAACAGCTTATCCTTAAATATTCTATTTATTCTGAGTGTTTATTCTGAACTTCTAAGTCCCAAGCAGAAAACTGTCCCTTACACTTGAACAGTTTAGATGACACATGCTGTTGCAGAGTATTATGTATACATTTTCTTTTAAAAAGAGAAAAATGTTTCCCTAGCAAGTCTGGAAGCAAGAAGAGAGCTAATTTCAGGGATCCAGAGGTTTCTTTTGATAGAGTTTCCAGATTGACTAAGATGTAAGCTCTATGGAGGCTTATCTAACCCATCAGGGTCAGCATTGGCTGAATCCACAGTTGGCTCCCGTGATCGTGACTGCTGCAAAGACTTAGAAAATGTGGGAGATGAAGTATACAAGAGTAGAAATTTAGGGACTATGGCTACTTGTAGACATCTGCATATATACATAGTGTCAAAACATCTATGGCATGCCTAAGGCACTGGGTTAGAGCCTTGGCAATGCCAATAAAAATCTGAATTGAAAAGTAAAATTCCATATATAGTAACTGTATATATGTGTGTGTACGTATGTATTTAAATTTAAATATCTAGGTATTGGAAATGCGAGCTGAATAACCTTTCAATTTTTGTTTGGATTTTTAGTATAAATGTACACATGATATGTGAGTTCTGACATCAGTTCTGTAAATGATATGCTAATTGTTTATTATTCAGGATTGGGTCTTTCTTTCTTCTTAGAAAGTAATTGGTAGCATCATAGCATTTCTGATGCATTTGGACACATGTGACAATACCCCATGTTGGTGTAAGAAACAAAACACTTCTGCCTTTTAGGGAGCATGATAAAACTTGAACTCACTTCCACCCCTGTCTTGCCACTGACCTTTCTTCACGGTTGAAAAGTTTACTTATCTAAAGTGATGGACTGAGTTTCTAGGTATTTTAAGAAAGAAAAGCTATCATACTCCACTCCTCAAAATGAAGCAGCCGTCCACTCTGAAGGAGCTTTTAGTTTTTGAAGTTACCTCTAGACATAGGTATGTGAAAATACAGCTTGGGGACTCATTGGTCATTCCCTGGGGATTGCATGGTCAATCCCAGGCCTACTTTCTGCAATATTACAGTATGGTCCTCTGTAGACCTTGGTTTTGGCTATGAATTAATTTGTTTGTGCTATATTGCTTATGAAAACCAGACATAATCTCACTAGTGTTTTATCAAAGCACTGCCATAGTTACTTATTTATTTATTTATTTTTGTGGTCTATAAGGTTTTTTTAAACCTCACTAATATCCATAAACAAAAACACACTATCTTACTCTACATTTTTTCTTCACTGCTAGAGATTGAACCCAGGGCCTTGCACAGGCTAGGTAAATTGCTCTATCCATGAGACACACCTCAATCCTTTTGTGACATTTGAAATAATTTAATAAAACATTTATTGAGTGTATCAAGATCTATAATAAATGCTGCAGTTACTAAGTTGAAGAGATAAAATTCCTACTCTTAATGAATTCACAGCCTAATAGAGGAGACAGAGCAAATAATTTCTTCAGAGACTATAAAGCCCAATAATTTAGTGACACACCCTGGAATGAGACTGCCAGGGTCTGTCCCATTTGTCACTTGTGTACTCTTGGATGAGTTTCCTCATCCAAGATTGATTGATTACTTTGGAGATGATAACCAATGTCTACATGAGGATGAACGCTGTACCTTCTTAAAATGTTATTGTGATTAGAGTATACACATGAAGTGCTTAGAACATTCTATACCTGGCATACAATAAGGGCTAATAAATATTAGCCACTACTGTTATTGATCAGTGTTATGTGGGCAATGAAATGTTAGCATCTGCATATGGGTCCTGGGTGGGGAATTTAGAGGGACGTTTAGTCAATACAGACTCCTAAGCCTCCCTTTCAGAGTTTCTGACTTAGTAGGTCTGCATGGAATGTGGATTCTGCAATGTTAGCCAGCACCCTGGCTTATTCTGACGAAAGGTGTGCATGGCTCACACTTGGAGGATCACTGGTACGATGAAGGCAAAAGCAGTATTGCGGAAGTGAAATAGTCTTTGTTTAGGGGTGACATTAGGGGAGATTTCATCCTGAAGGTCATGGTATGTTCTCTGAGTTTTGAAGGATGAACAGGAGTTCAACAGGCAGAGAGAGCAATAGTACATATAAAGACATGTGGTTGTGGGTCTAATGCTGTCCACAGCATTAGGTTTTCCATGTCTTTGGGTTGGTGAGAAAGGTGGGTGGTTGGAGAAAAGTTGTGGGTGATGACTTTAGTGAGAGAATTGTAATTCCTCCAGAGCATCTGGCCATTTAATTAAAGAATCTGGGTGAATAAATGGGCCACTTTATTTTCTGACATTGTTTGAATGAAAATGAGGGACTGATTTAACTTTGTAGTTAGTTGGTCTTAGTTGTGATAATCCAGTCACCACTGGACTAGATAATCATGGCGTTAACTTCTGCTCTGATGACTTCTACTTTGATGACCAGTGCTGAGCATTTCTAGGAAGGAGTTAGTGTTGGTGCTGTTAATAGGGGGTACTTAGACACAGCAATGAGTTAAAAATAAGGTTGTGAGTCTTGCCCTCCTTTGCTTGTGAATATCTTCCCAAATAGGTGGGCTTTCCCCCTCTGAGATATTTAGATAATTTGTCTTAGATATTATCGATTTGGATATTTGGATGTTTGGGGAGTAATCAGGCAGTGTCTCAAAACTTTCTGTGCTAAAAATCAGATGATAACCTGGGGAACAAAAAAGTTTTTTCCTTTCTGTCAGGGCAAATGTTATGAATGTAGTGGGTGGCCCCATAATAACAGACAAATAAATAGTTTCTCCCTTCCTCCCTCCCTCCCTTCCTTCCTCCCTCCCTCCCTCTCTTCCTTCATTCTCCTCCTCCTTCTTCTCAGTACTGGGAATTGAACATATGGCCTCAAGCATGCTAGGTGAGCACTTTTGAGCCATGCCCCCTAGCCCTTTTGTCCTTGCAGTGTTTTAGGTCAAAGAATTCACAAATGAAATAGAATAGGAAGAAGGTTCTATGTGAAATCTGTCTCCACATTCCTTTATGGCAGAATGAAGTTTTATGGAAACTGGTGAATTTCATGAATCACCTGATTCAATAGTGGAAAAAAAGAGGATACTTTGGGAAAATTTGCTTGGTGAAATGCAGGGGTTTTTTTGTAGACAAAAGGGAAAGAATTAAAGTGTAGCTCAAACTGATTATTTTCATATACACTCAGGGCTCAGCTTTCTTTTTTTCTTTTAAAATTGTCATTCTTTTAAAGTTCTGTGGATATTGCTTCCGTATTACAGAACTTATCAGAAACTATACTGCTTTAAAAAAAAAGTTACATGATCAAACCAAACCCTCACTCCATGGGAAAGTTTCCTCACTGTGTGCTGTTCTGTTAATTACTGTGTTAGCTGTTAACAGGAGATACCCATGGATACTTGGTAAGGGAGAAAGAGGTCTGCTCTTTTGCTTATGGAAAATGGATGGAAACTTGCTGAAAAAATGTTTGGGGGTCATTTTGGAATATCTCTCAGCAACACTTCCTGTCTTAGTGTGTGTGTGTGTGTGTGTGTGTGTGTGTGCGATTGTTGGTCTTCTGGATGTTTCTGAGTGAGCCTGTGTTTAAATTAACGGATGACAGACTGAATAGTGGGTCATGATGGGTGGCTGAGTCCTTTGAAACACAGTAGGCCTATTGTATACGTAAGAACTACTAAATTCACAGAAATCCATGGCTTGCATGCTTCTGTAAATATACCTTAGCCTATAAGTAAACCTGAAATTATACTTTTTCCCTTAAGAAAAGAAAATGAGAGAGAAAAGAGATGAAACAAACAAGCACCCATAGAACTTTCTTTTGCAACTCTGACTTCTTTTCCTTTGGACATTGTTTTTAAAGTTGCAACGGTCCTGTGTGAATGAATATGGGTTTTATCCCTGAAAACAGAGGCTGGCTGTCTGATGCTGGCTTCTCTTTCCTGTTTGATTGGCAGGGCTTTCTGTCTCACTCCCATTAGAGAAGAAATACTGTTTAGATTTTGACACAAGATATTGCCAGTGGAATAAACAGTGCCATTTTTATGACAACGTAGATGTTTAGGATTAAAGGTTTATTTAAGCCTGATGAGTGACATTCCAGTTGAATTAGGAGACCCAACTCCAGGAAACAAATTTTATCAACTTAATTTTGTTATTTTCCTACTAAGCACACAGGAGCACCGTGTCTATGGAGATATCACCTTACCCTTCCATTATTCTCAGAATTCAACAGTGGTCTTTGCAGTTGGGGGCATTGTCTAGAAAGGCAATCTCTTATATGAACAGCAGGGGGCGCTCTAAGACTGACAGCAAAGTCAGGTAAACGTGGAAGTTGAAATAGCTAAGGACCTTCCTCCTCTTTTCCTTCTCTCTCTATCTCTCTTTTTAGATATAGGAAAAAGAAAAGAAAAGAATGATCAGCCAGAAAACAAAGAGTACTAAAGGACCCAGTATATTCAGCTGAAGAACTTTTAAAAAACATTCAGGGAACTCAGAGGAACCTTAAGTCCACATATTCTCATTCTTAATGCCAGCCATTCTGTAGGTGTCCCCTGCTCTTCTGCAGCCACCCTCCACCCCATCCCACCCTAAGCCCCACTTTGGTCCTATATGCCAGCACCATTGTCTGTCCTTAGAGAGACATCTGGTCCACACTGCCATGCCTGTATTAGGGGGAGCAGTGTCCCCATGGGTGACAGTAACAGAAGGTAAGCATGCTCCCTTCCTGCTTGCAGCAGTGTGCCCACTCATCTCCCTGACAAAAGGGACAGGCGGGGAAGTCAGGACACCTGGTCCTCAGCCCATCTTAACCTTCATTTGTAAATCAAGGAATAAGCATTAATTAAGGTTTTGTTCACGCAGAGCAGAATTCATAAGCAAGGTTTAGAGCACAAAGCTTTGAGAGAATTGGGGCAAAAGAGTCTTTGTTTTCCTTTTCTTTCTGGAGGGTGAATAACCAGAACTTCACTACAATCTTTATGGTGGAGGATCAACAGATTTGTTGAATGTCTATTGTATGTTCAAAAGAGCAGATTAGGTTACACTTTAGTTTAGGTTAAACTTTAGCAGTTTTCTTTCATTAATTGCTTATTTGTGAGTTAACAGTAATTTCTTTATCGAGTAAAAATACTGCTTGGTATACTTGAATTTGCTTTTGCTCCCAGAACAAACTAAATAGACTTTGTTTTCAGGGTGTTCCAATTTAGTTGGCTCTAATGAGAACCAAATTGCTCACTAGGATATAAAGTACAAATGTCACATTTGTTTGCATCACATTTGTTTTCCTCAGTGATGGGTTTCCCTTGACTGAAACAAGTGAATGCGTGTAGAGACTAAGAAGAGACTTGATAAAGCAGAAATATCAAATCTAAACATTAAGTGAAACTTAAGGGATGAATATGCTTATATTGTGTGTAAAGAGTGTGTCGAATATGGGAGGAATGGGGAAAGGTAGGAAACCCAAAACTTGAAAGTGTTTGATGTGCCCACTGTAGAGGAGCTAATATAGTAACCTTAAATTGACAGAGGCCACTATGGGAAGGTGACCGGGAAGTAGTGAAGAGGTCTGGTGGAGATGAATCAATTCAGGTTGTAATACACATGTGCATGGAAGCAATGCTAGGAATCTCTCTGTATAGCTATCCTTATCTCAATCTAGCAGAAACGCTATGTCTTTCTTATTATTGCTTACGTCTACTTTTCAACAAAATTGGAGAAGAGGGCAGAACAGGTTCTGCCTGGAAGCTAGGGGGTGTGGCAGGGAGTGGCCGGTGGCCAGGGGCAGGGGGGAGAGATGGTCCAAACAATGTATGCACATATGAATAAATGAATAAATAAACAAAAAAAAAGTGTGTGGAATGGGGGGATGACTGTGGGAGGAGTGTAGGGTCTTTCTCATGACTGCAGACAGAAACCAGGACAGAAACCTCCCACAGCTCCCTAAACAGCAGGTGTGAGTGAATAAGTTAAATAAAGGGAAGTATATTAGGCTTTAGTGGAAGACTGAGACCTTGGTTTCAATGGAAGTAGGAGTTTCTCTTTCACCGAGGAAGAGATGTTCCATATATTTATCCTGGAAAGTTATTGTGGCTCATTTTGCCTTAAGTATTGGTGTCAATAATTTCATAAATTCCTTGAGGGCATGCTTTAAAAATATATTCATCCCTACAGTGCCTACTTTGCATGGAGACTTTTATAATAAGAGACGTTCAAAGACAGTTGTTGCTCCCATTAATTTTTTTCCTCCTAATGCATCAATACAGCTACAGAAACAAACAACAAGAAGGATACTTGTATGAAATCATAATTTGGCCCACAAACTAGGTGCTGAGTCCATTTCTAGCTCTAATAACTGGATATTCACCATGAGCTCAATTGGGGCAGTTGGGAGAGACACTGTGTTTTGCTCAGATCATTAAGCTGGAATGTGCTAAGAACCAAAGCTCAGACTTAGTGCAAGCCTTTGGCTGTTTCTTTGTACCAACTTTCTGGGTTTCAAAAAGATTTATTTATGTTAATATTAAAAGCACTGGATCAGAGTTAGCTCTGAAAAACAGTTCTTGGTAGGGTAATGCAGTATAGAGCAAAACATTTAGTTGGATCAGAACCACACAGTCATATTTACAGTTACACAAGCAGTGTTGCAGTTGGGAGAACTCACAGGGAATTGGTGATGAAGGTGGTGTTGCTGATGGCTTTGCAATAGGTGATTAAGTATACAATATGGTTAGAATCTTTATTTTTTCATTTATTGTTTAATCTCTCTTTGATTCTTCATTTGTAACATGGGAGCTCTTGCCATTACATTGTTTGAGGGTTAGGAAAATGTATGGAGTGAATAGAACACATCAGGCTTTTAAAAACAGGTTATTTTATTATATAAGATAAGTTCTTAAGACCTCTCTTTTTCCCAAGTATATCTCCAAAGAGCTGACAAAATATACTTAGTATTTTGCTGAGGAAATTTTTTAATGAAGAAATATATTTAGTTTCTAATGAAGTAGTTAGGGTTTCTATTCCAGTAATTCTACTACTCAGTAACTAACTGCTTCATTGTTGAGATAAAACCCCCAACTACTTGTCAAGCAATCCTCTATTTCCCAACTTTCAATTCTTTCCCTTTTTGCACTGCTCTTCTCTCCACAAGTTCCAAATTCCATTCCTACAATATCGGCTTGATAATACTTCAGTATGCTGCTCTCCCTGAGAATATTTAATTCCTAGTCAGAAACAAATCTAACCACTAAGAAATAAAACATAGAATGGGAACTTCAAGTCTTGGTCCGCATGTAGAAACGAATTTTTTTCAGGTGATTAGGATATTTAAAAATTTTTTTGAAATTGAACTAATTGGTAATAGATAATACATGAACATCGTCTATTAAATCATCAGAACTGCAAGGTGAAATAATTTATCTCAGTAGTAACTTATTTAGAAAGGCCATAAGGAAAGAAACATATACAGTCACCATTGATTCATTCATTTTATATATATTTTAAACATAATATATTATATGTAAGATACACTAATATATACTATTTTATACATAATACGTAATAATATAATATATGTGTATATATTTGGCAGTACTGGGGTTGAATTCAGGGCCTTGTGCTTTTGAGGCAGGTGCTGTACTACTTGAGCCATGCCTCCAGACTTTTTGGTTATTTTTGAGTTAGGGTCTCATGTCTTTACCTGGACCTGCCTGGACTCTGATCCTCTTACTTATGTTTCTCACATAGCTGGGATGACAGGTGCATGGCACCATGCCCGGCTTTTTTTGTTGAGATGAGGGTTTCTCTTTTTGCCAAAGCTGGCCTTGAACCATGATCCTCTCAACCTCTGCTCCCCAAGTAGCTGGAATCACAGGTGTGAATCCCACACCCAGCCCATTTATTCAATATTGTTAAGTGACAGATTACTATGGACCAAGAACCATTGGTGCTGGGGAGTCAAAAGTCCTGAGCCTCAACTTTTGTGCTGCGATATCATGGCCGAAGGTCAGAAAGATGGTGCATCAGGGTATCTCAAGGGCACTTGTAGCAAAGTGGGAATGGAGGCAAAGGAGGTTTTTGTCAAGAGCCCGTACTGACCCCCACAGTTTCCAGAAAGCAACTATCCCTGCTGGAATGGGCTATGCTAAGTAGATCCTGGGTAGCTAAAAATTTCCTCCAGGACCATGTATTTGTTGATGGACAATGGACTGGTCTGTCTAAGTGGATTGCGGTCAGACCAGGATTACTTTTTAAGCAGGAACTTCACTGAAAACAAGAGATAATTATGGAGTCAGAAAGATCATCTATGTGACCTCTGTTTAACCTTGGGAATATTTATGATTTTAAGCATTTTCATTGCCTGGGTGAATAGGGGAAATGTCTTCTGTTTCCACCCTTATATTCCTAATTGCAGGAAGAAAGCTTCTAAAGTCCGCCATTAAAAGCAGTAAAGAAACTCTATCCATGACATGAAACACTACACTGAGCCTACGTAAAATTGAGTTACAGGCTCACTGGATTGTGGCCGCTATTTGAAGTTGTCAGCTGTGCTATTGTGGGTTAACTGTTCTGAAAACATGTATCTTCTTTTTCCTACGCAGTAAAGCTGTTTCTGTAATCTTATTTTATTTGGTAACTATGCTGTGATTAAATATAGTCTGTGGGCAAAATTATTATAAGTTGGCATTTGTACTTTATATGGTTTTGTATTAAGAAACTTTAGTTAAAGAAAAACATTCAGAGGAGCTCAGGCAGGAGTCCCTTGCTCAGAGCATACTCTGCAGGCTCTCACCACGTTACATTCTGAAATAGTAAATGCAATGCAAGAGGAAACAGTAAATAGGATGGAATACAAGAACTCAAAAGCACCATGGGATTCAGTCAGAGCCAGCAATTTGATAAAAATAAATCGGAAACTCATCTACCTTCTCTTTAAGTATTGGGGAAAATGTTCATTTGAGGGGTGGATATTCATTTGACCAGGTAGATATTGAGGGGTAGAAGTGATGAAATGTGAAGGGAGTTTACCACTTGAGTAGAATGCTTAGAATTTAAGCTGTGGCCACTATCATTTTCTTTTCTTTTACCTTCTGTATTTAAGTTGATAAAATACTAAACTTAATTTTGCACTCATGTACATAATTATGAGATATATGGTCCACATTAGAGATGTTAGAATTGCTCGAATTTACAGAGAGAAAGAGAGAGAGAGAGAGAGACAGAAAGAGAGACAGAGAGAAAGAGATTGAGAGAAAACATAAGAGGTGGTTGAATTGAACTGAGTGTCCTGGTGGGAAGCACACACAAGCTCACATACATCTCAGTACCATTTTTCAAGACATTTTCTTTGTGGCTGAATGGGCTTGGTGAGTCATTGAGCTTTTGCTCAGATCACCAAATGAGAAGACAAAGTAAATAACATTTGGAGCTGGATGACTTTGTGTTGCCTTCAATTAGGGCTCAAAACCGAGGACAATAAAACATCAAACATTTCACATTCTAAAAAGAAAAACCAATAATTTGGACCAGAAATTGTTTTTACAGCTTCTCAGTGCAGCTATTTCCATGTGTGGTTCTGCCATCTTGTGTTTTCAAGTTGTCCTAGCAACCTATGCCATATCTGCCCACCTTCCATTAGCCCAAGTTCATCGTGTGGTTAGCTTAACTGCAAAGAATGTCAAGGACTATGTGGAGAGTGTGAGAATCAATTGTC